ACGGCTCCGAACAAATGCCGAGCTCTCCGATTGGTTGTTCGTGCTGCCGAAGACGCCGTCGCCATAGCAACAGCACCGGTAAGTTTTGGTTTTTCCGTACGACAACGTCGCTTTCCTCCTCTCACTTAAGAACGCGTTCGTGAATACCGATTTCTCCTCTTCTTACGATGTTCTTAACTTACGAACTTCTTAGCTAAGTTGTCGTAAACTAAGAAGCTCTTCATGAATCTGGCCTCTGGCTTTTGCAGCCCGAGCGACGTCATGACTGAAAACAGCGAGCAGAACCTCACCATGTGAACCAGGCTTTAGCGTCCCTTCTGCAGCGTTTATGCGGAATGAATCGTCGCACGTTACATTATTCACGTCGAGTTTTGCGGTGTAACAAGCCTCGTTAATTTCGCTGAGGCCGCTCAAGTAGTCACACATTTCATGTTGGAATCAACAATTCCAACATGAAAAAGAGCGCGGGGATTCGCACCGACACCGACAACATCCCATTCCAATGGTTTGTTTATGGGTGACGGCGAGCTTCTTGCCCACACCCCCATCGCGCATGCGCGGCGTCGGTGGCGTCCGCTAGGGGCGCTCCGGTTTTTTTGTAAACATGAGTTGGTGTATACATTTAACATTTCTGCCTTAGCATTATTACAAATGACAATATTCATGGCTATAGCCTTTGCTTCACAGAGGCAAAATTACTAGAATATGCGAATGACGTGGCGTTTTTCTGTTCGAATAAGAAAAGTACGGAGAAAGACCGTCATGTAACAAGGAGGTATTGTAAACTAACTGGAGCGAGGTTGAATACCGACAAATCTAATGACTTCTGGATATGTGCGTGGGCAACCATGTTAGGACACTTTGCTGAGCTATCGTGGAATTGTACTCCCTTCAAATATCTTGGCGTTCCTCTGGATCAAACACGATCTAATAATCTATACTTGGATTCTTTCGTAGCCAATATTAATCGAAAAATCATTGGCATGGAGAGCGCGAGATCTTTCAATTTTCGCAAAAGCAACAGTGTGTAACATTTTTTTTAATATAAGTATGTATGTTTTAGAAGTAATATATTGTGGCCGTTCAAATGTACAAGCCTTTCACATAATGTGTGCGACCTTTATCTGGAGCTCCCCTTGGGAACGGATGAAGCAATCCTAAACTGGAGGCTTGGGTCCGGCAAGTCTATTCGTCCGGCAGCTGGTTTCCTGACCGTTTTTCTTAGGGATTTATCCCATCCTTTTCTGCTTACACTCGTTCAAAAAAAGCTAGCACATCACTTGCCCTTCTTGATTATTTGAACTACGCAGATTCTACCCCACAAACTCTGGAGCTTTTGAGAAGAGTTAATAGATACCTTCATGCTTCTAAAAGTCCGCTTCTCAGAGTATTTATTTGAGGTACCACGAAAAAGACTAACACAAGCCCTAATTGAAAGTTTATTCCCTATCCGTTATATAGGACACGGCTTAGTGACTATGAAGGACACGATGTTTTAAAACGTGTAAAGCGAATGTGCAATCTCCAAGTGCTAAAACATTTTTTCTTTAAATTTCAGAGATCCGCACTTCCAGTAAAATTATAACTCCAAGAGCGTTTCTTTTTTTGTTTTTGTTTTGTACTGTGGTTAGTTGGCTGCCGCTGGTGTCAACGACTAGAAACAATAGAACACTGCTTCAACTACTGCCCAGATTCCGTTGTCTTCCCGGATGTCCTCCAACGATCACTTAAATAAGATAAAGATTACCGACCATAGTATTTGCTTTTTACACGTCTCCACGGAAACACACATTCCATATGATTTATTCATGCTGATAGGCCTCCACGGCCTTTGGAGATGCCGAATGATTGAAGGAAATACCGACACACCACGCAGCACTAAATCCATTTTTCAAGAAGAAATTTCGAAAGTAAGAAGTGTTTATGAAGCTCATCCACCAGGACTGAATGATGCCTGCTTAAGACTACCAGATTTGTAATATCTGAAAATAGTAGAGATTGTGGCGTGCTTAGAAACGTAGTCTGTGTGTATGTGATGTGCCGTGAGTGAATATGTGCTCCTGGACTGTGGCTCAAAAAAACAATCCTCTAAACGTCTAACCTCATTAATACCACTGTGTGTATAACCATATTTTTACCTTCTAACCTAAATTACGAGCTAAATTTTCCATGCCATAAAAAAAAGTGTCAACGAAAAAAAAAAGGGTGTGTGTATGTTTATACAGCCTAGAACTTAGTCTGCCTCAACGGGCGACTTGTCTCCCAGCTGTAGACGAGCACTTTATCCAGTGCAGTACAACCGCTAGCCTGGTGTCTTTAACGTGCATAACGCAGTAGTGATACACGACCGCACGCCGGCACGATGCTCATCCAGGTAAAAAAAAAGCGTCTGCGAGCTTTAGTCGCTAGTGGGTGTGGCTCGCAACCGAATCGTGGGTTCGAATCCCGCGTCCGCCTAAAATTCCTCGGATTCTTTTTTTTCTTTATACAAATGAATTACTTTACAAAGTGAAATGATTTGAGATATGCGGTGAACTTTAATTCGCATTACATGTCTGGTTTAATCACTTTAATTCCATACGTCACGTGGCGTTTCACGTGAGCGTTGTGACTTGGTTTGAAATTCCCGCGCGAGGGCATGTGGCTGTGACGTCATAAACCTTTTGACCAATCACGATTTTTCCATCCGACACCGACGCCGGTTTTTGTGCGACACGAGCACCTTAAAGCTGTCGCTTTAATATCGTTTCTTCTTATTGGGGGAACAACGAGTACTAACCTTGACGTGGTGTTCCTCTTGCAAAAGCAGCGGTAAGATGTATCGACAATTTAGGCTATACTGAGCACACAGCGCCCTCATTAGGAAAGTACAAGCTTTTGCCCAATAAACACGTTCTCTTTATAAAACCGGCCAACGCAATTTTTCAACAAATAAAGCAAGATGAGGCGTACCTCTTCTACACTTGCCTTCACAGGCTTGCGGGTTACACTCTGACACTTATTTAATAAAACCAAGCGTTAGAACAAGCTATGGAACTCAAACTTAGTTACCAATTATTTGATCTTCTAAACAACCATTCCAATACAGTTATAATAGCCCGCCAAAGTCGAACAATCCGCATGTTCAAGAAAATAGTAAAAGCGTATATTTTTAGCCACCGACTGACGTGTTCCGTGAAATTTTTTTTTTTTTTTTGTGATTGTGATATTTTTTTTAATTTTTGTGTCTGCTGATAATTGGATTGCTGAAAAAGAAATGTACTAATGTTTCATACTTTTTTTTTCGTTCGAATACTGCAAAAGTGGATTATTCTAGATTAAAGGCCCGTTCACACTCTTGCGACCTCTTAAACCTAGGTTCCTTAAAACTTCTTAAACCAGAGAACACACTGGCGCCATCTATTGGGAAGCAGTGTAAACTCGGCGGTCCGGCATATTTTGTTTTATTTCTCGCGCATTATCCTTTCTTTCTTGGCTCGAAAAACTTTTGTCAATGTTATAAACGAGCCTTTCTATGGTTATTACGCACATTTGACCTCGGAAATCCCGCAAAACCTTCGCTCTTGTGAAATGCAGTTCCAGGGTCACCGCATAGATGGCGCCACAATACCAGTGTGTTCCCTCATTCTAAAAACATTTAAGAAGTTTTAAGAGATCCTCGTCTCTCTCAGTCGTACTCGGTCGTACTCGGTCGCAAGAGTGTGAACGGGCCTTAAAGCGTACACCGACATTGTACGGTAATGAATGCAATCTCAATGATGTTGATCTGAATAATTTCGACTTGAAAAGTTTGATGACGTTGATGTTAATTATTTCGACTACGGTGCCTAGCTAATCCCGATTTGATAATTTTTGTATATTTGTTTTTATGCTCACACAAGTTGACTGCTGTAAAAAAAACGGGGGGGGGGGGGGGGGGGTATGCCTGGAAATAAAGGCTATTACTAAGTCTTGGGGTGATCGCATTGTTGATGTTGTGTGTGTGAACAGTGCGGTACCCAGGATTTTGTCAAGCTTTGCGATCTCCACGATATGACAATATTGGGCACTCCGAGGATTTTTTTCATGGTCGCTGATTTTCCTAAAAATAGGCTCAGCACACCAATAGACACGGCTGGTTCCCCAAGTATTGCGTGAAAAGGAAAACATTTCGCGAAGTTATTGAATTTTCGAATTTCGTTTTCATCGTGTTTCTCAAACTGGCAACATTGAAGTGTGACGACAGAAATGATACAAAGTGGGCAGTAAGCCATCTTCCTTACTGATTATAATGCGTTTCATGGTGGGAAAAAAATGCTTAATAACTAATTCACCAAAAATCACGCAAAAAAACAAAAAAAAAAAACTTGACATATTCTGTTTAAGACTACCTGCACGACCTGAAAGTCTGTACCATGTGTGACGTCACACCACTGGAGAGCGCTCGGAAATTTGAATGCTGGTTTCGGCATCATCTTCATTTAGAGTTTTCTCAATTGCTATTTTAAATTTCGACAAAACTAAATGGCGTACCGTGAAGACTAAAGTCCGGGTAGTCAGAAAATGCAATTTGTATGGGTAGCTAAAAAACGGCCGGAGTACTCTTTTTAATACGGCTCGTACTGTGGACACGAGCACTACGTGAGCAGTCGAGTTCGACTTGCGTCAATCAATGCCTGGACATGCATTCGGGGCTCGTGACCGATCGCTGTGATCAATGTAGAACTCGGAGCGTGCCCTGTGCTTTGATAGTCCTAGCGCGTGGCTATGGTAAACATTGACAGCATATAATCGACTCTAGATCACGCGGACCCTTCTTCTGGCTGCGAGCCGAGAGAATAAACGTTGCACGTTTTCATTTTTTTTTTTTTTCTCGTCAGTTATTGCCCGGAAAAGGGATTCCTTTTAATTACGAAACTGTATTTGCGCCAAGTACAAAAGTCGTTGCACCGAGCCTTTAGTGCAGGATTTACTTGGGGGTGTCGCGGGTCTGTTTTCTTACCGCGCCCTTCTGGCCCCAGGCGTGGACGGACACTCGAGGCGTCCTGGGCCAGAGCTGCGGACCTCGGGTGTCGGCGCGATTCCTGCGCGACATTCCCTGCGACATGAGCAAGAGCGACTTCTGCAACGTGCCCGGGAGCGGATACCCCTGGTGAGATAAACACGCGCGCCTTTTTTGCGTCGCCGAAATGCCACTGAAGCGGTTATTGCAAGTCAGAGGCCTAGGCTGGAAAGAATGACATTGTAGCATCAGCATCTAAGAAGGGAATTACCCGTACTTTTGTCAAAGAAATTAAGTGAACACATTGAGTGAAAACTGAAGGTTCCGTTACAGCAGCGCACACGCACATTTATTGACATTCTTAATACGAGGGGGTGTCTTCCTTTGCGCTATTCGAGAGTAACAAAAATCGTATAAATAGACAAATTAGCGGAGGGCATTGAAACATTTCACAGATGCCTTTAGGTAGTTCACTTGTCATACTCAAATTTTATAAGCGCAAGTTTCACGGAAAAAAAATGGTAAAAGCCGCCTAGTTGACGCTGCTGCTTACAGATGGTACCACACACGGTAAGAACTGCTGGATCTGCTCTCAGGTGCTCATCTCAAAGCACCATTCACGTTTTAGTTTTATGCTGTTCCATCTAGTGATTAGCAGCTCAACCAGAGGCAGCATCCACATTAGCAGCTCAAACGAAAAAGAAAGCAGATTTGTTTTAGGTTTATTTTTTTTTTAAAGCTTACACTTATAAAGTTTGAATACAATAAATGCACCACAAAAATAGCTTTCGTGAAAGGTTTCATTGCACTTCGTTAATTCGTTTATTCGTACGAATTTGTTCGCTCCTGAACATAGCGCTCAGAAACGCCGTATACACATTCCTAAAGCAATCTGCACAACATGCGTACCCTATTTTTAGATGCTAAGCCACTCGGCCAGCAGTTTAACGTGGCATGTCCAACGCCAAGTGCGCGCGACCGGTGCCCTTTTTGTTTTTCTTTTTTTTTTTGTTTTCGATTCGCAGGCATGCGGTGCGGCGGTACATCTTCGAAAATCAGGGCCTGGTGCGGCGGATGTACGGCGACCAGCGGCACAGTCTGATCGTCGTCAGCGAGCTCGAGGCCCGCAGACTGCGCTACGACGACGAACCGAATCGAGCGTTCCGTACGGACGGAGGGCGGAATCCGCATCGTGTGCGACCGAACAGTCGCTACGCGGCCAGGCTCAAGACGCCGCCGGCGGCCTCTCACGAGGCCGAGGACTCCGCAGAGACTACCACGGTGCCCATCACCCCGACGGAGGCCACGCCGACGACAGTTCGCGTTCCCGTTCGCACACCAGGGTTGGTAGGCCGCCAGGCCAAGAAAAAGTAAAATGTGTTGTATGTGAAGAAAGTAGCTCCACCTCGGCAAGTCACGCACAACGCTATCTCTGTCATGTGATTTGTGCCACTATACGTCACGCGATCACGTGACCCACTCCGGCACAATGCCGTGACCCATAGTGGCACAACCACGTGACCCAAAGTGGCACTACCACGTGACCCATAGTGGCTCAACCACGTGACCCATAATGGCACAACTACGTGACATGACAACCACAGTGTTTTCTTTTTTTTTCTGCTGATTTTGTATTGTTATATTGATAGTGCGTTTCGCCATCAGTCCGAGGTGAGACCCGATCATGTTCAGCTCCTCCCGTCGTGATGAGTCGCGGCGTGACACCCGGGTGTAGGAAAAAATGTTCCCGGGAGAAAAGTCCCCGGACAATATCTTTCTGGAAAAAAAGGGCCCCAGGTGGGTAAGTAGGAAAAAATATCCCCAAAGGATTCTCTATCTCTGGGTTTCCCGGATCCTCATGGCCTCGGGCGGTCCGGTCATCCTGTGGCAAGTAGGAAAAACCGGCCCCCATAAATAAGGACATATACGATTCCCCGTACACATCGCGACACTGTTAGCGCGAACACGACATCAGCGCATTTTCTCATTTTACTTAGAAAGAGTATAAAGGCCTGTTCACACATGCAGCGGAGCGCTACAAGCATAGCGTTGACCTCGCGCTAAGCGCGTGCTGACGGGAGCGTTCAACAGCTCTGTATTGCACCGTCAAAATGGTAGCCCATGGCAGGCGATAAGGAGCTGACGACACGCGAGGAGCGCCTGCATTATATCCCCAAATGAGCACTTTCAGAACCTCTACATATCTGGGGAACACGGGATCGCTTGCTGCTTTTACGGGGTTGCGGTGGCGTCGGGGCGCCGGGTCCTGGTCGGCTCTGGTTTGGGGGTTGTGGGTGGACCTTGGGACGACATGCCCTGAGGTTTGCCCGCTGGCCTTCGGTTGGGACCGGGCGGGGGTCGGCGCTCTGGTGGTGCCGCGGCCTCTGTGGTCGGGCTAAATCCTAGTTTGGTAATTAACTGTTCTCTGTAATTTGTCCTTGTCTCAGCTGTTTGTATATATTTGTGCCTTATAATTTTGTGCTTCTCGTCAATAAATTTCTCTTTCCAGTAATAACTTTGATGACAACCTTTCATTTCTAAGAGAAAAATAGAAAAAAAAACAAAAAAACTAGCGATCGCTTGTTCCTGCTAACAGTGTCGCGGGTTTTGCCTATTTTGAATTGGTACACAAGTACCTCTCAAATTTCCCCAAACACAATAATTTGGTTTTGGCTAAAAGTGTTATAAATGTTTATTTCACAATAGAAAAAAAAAACTCGCAAAAATACAATAATTTGGTTTGGGCAAACACAATGTTTTGGTTTTCAAAATACCCCACAATAGATTACTTCGGTTTCTTTATGTGACTTCCAGTCTCCGTTTCTACCTTTAGGTGGGTCAGGTCATTTGTGACCGGGTAATGACAGGACCGCCCGAAGGTCATGAGAATCGGGGAAAACCAAGCGATATAGGGAACCCTTTGGGAACATTTTTGCTATTTTCCACGTGGGGCCTCTTTTTCCGGGGACATTTCTTCCGAAACCCGTGACACCCGTAACCTGCCGATTCTGGTCTCGCTCATTTTCAGTGAATGCCGCGTTTGCATGCGTTTCAGGATTATGACGCAAGTTGTGTACCACGACGAACCCGCCGACGAGCCTTCGCCGGAGCTGGCCACGGACGCGAGAGAAAGGCCGGACGAGACCGAAGCTAACAACGCCACCCAGGACGTTCCCCGACCGACGACGGAGAGCTTTCAAAGCACAGCCACGACGGTGGCCCAGCCGGCGAGCGACTTCGGGCCTTCCTACGCTGCCGGCGAAGCCTTCACGCACGAGCCCCAGGCACTCCTGTACGCGGAGTCTACAGACCACACAACGAGTCACCTTCACATCAGCGTCCTGGACCACAACAGCATTGATGCAGCAGACGCCGTGAGACCAAGCACGGAGAGCACCGAAGCGCCCGAAGTGTTGATCACGACCACGGAAACACCGTCCAAGAAGGGCATGTGAGTACGGCCCTGAGGTCAGGCAACAATGAGCTTGAGACTCGGGCGGACAACATACTATTTGGGGAGTTTTAGTAGATCGTTTTACTAGCCCCGATAACGATACTATTAACATGCGCGTGCAGAGCACCGGCGGAGTATCGTTATTGGAACCATAAAGTTGAGTTCAGGGCGAGGGTATGGAAGGCTGCAGGGAGGAGGAGGCAGGCGGACTGCTGGAGCGAGGGGGATGTTTCCTCCTCTCGTCTCCGGCCATCCATCACCTTCCTCCTCACCAGCCTTCATTTCCCTCGAATTAACCTGTCGCCGACTATAATAAGAGGCCTATACGGTTAAAAACAAGATTACGAAAAAAATAGTTCGAAAAAAGAAAAGAAAAACCCTCAGAGGAACCTTATTCGCATTTATGCAAAAGACAGTCTGAGACACTGTCCAAGGAGTGTCCTGTACCATTGGTCATACACGACAACAAAAAAATAAAGCTAAGCACACACGCTGATCTCTATTGTAGTAGGCTGGATCGAGGCTTCTCTTGCTGGGGTCAAGTGGCACCGCCGACCGCCATGACACGACACCAGCTAACGCATGGGACTCTATGGAAAAAAACGAGAAAAAGTTCCGCTTCTCCCGCTTCTAAGCTGCTGTCGGCACTGAAACGTTTTTTAATGCTTTCCGGAAAGCATGCCAAATAGCTTGTGCACAAACATTAAAACTGACAGCCCTCGAATTTCGTATAAATGAGTGTTTTGTGGTCGAGAGCGACTCCGCTGGGGCGAAAGGTGTAGTGCAGCTCAATGAGACGAGAGTTAGCGCGGAGTCGGTGGTGGTTTCGATAAGTTGGGTGTAACAGACAAGCTCAAAGACTTTGCTACGCGGAATTTGCGCACTCCCGGAATGCCGCTGTCAGCGTGGAACATTTACGACATTCATAAACTTTGGGGCTTCCTCGAGGACGCACGTTTCTTTGTTTACTCCACGAGAACGAGCTTGCCAGCGCAGCCGTGGGTGCTCCGGCACGTTTGATTTTTTATTTTTTTTATTTTTTTTAATGTAGGTTTTAACGCTTAACAAATACCGATTCGATCTTCAAATACCCGATATAATGATCGCAGCACATCATAAAATACTCGCCTTCGAGCACCACGTAGAAGCTTCAATATTCCTAGCTTTGTTTCTCCCAGACTTGCGTGTTTTGCCAGGTGTCAAGTAATGGCCGCCGGTGGTGCCACCGACGGGCTCTGCGACGAACACCGTTAGTTCGTATGAGCAGCGCATGTGACTGGGGCTTTAGCAACACGGGGGCTACCATTCCAGGTTTCTCTTCCTGTACTTCGCACCTAAAATCTTTTTTTTTTTTTTTCATACAATGGACGGGAAAGGTTTCGGCACGCGTCATTTGTCATTTCGTAATTTCCTCTCTACCCTCAGAAATGCCTGTCCCGTGAAGCAAGAGGTGCTGGCCCCGTACTGGGCCAACAACACCCGGGGCGACGTCCTCGCTCTTCTCAACGTGTACCCTTTCGAGCAGTACATCCACGCTGAAAAGTGCGCGTAAGTGATCCAAACCTCGAGTTCTTTCTCACAAATATGACGACCGCTTTGGACGTTCCTGGAAGCGAGTAACGATACATTCGTTAGTTTGCAACTTCCGATAATCACATTCCATCGCAATAGAATATATCTTGACCAGCAGAGCAGGCAACATTCCATGTGCAATGACCCGTGCGTGCGCGCGTGTGTGTGTGTGTGTGTGCGCGCGCAAGCATACGTATCACTTATATCTCGAGGCGAGCAAATCCTTCCCGTAGAAAAAGTACGGTAGTACTCAAATTGTTTTTTTACACTACAATATTCGATTTGTTTTTCACAGGAAAGCTATTAAAGCATTTTCCGCGTGCGCGGATTCAAATATTTGCTTCTTAAAAAAATTAAAATTTTGAATACAGGCAAGAACACTTGATTCAGACGCATGAAAAAAAAATTGCGGTAGCTTAGCTCGGCTATGCCAGGATGTACGTAGCGTGAGCTTATGCGCACAAAATGAGGCGCTATCAAGCGGCTCCGGTGCAGCATCAGACTTGGCTACTGCGCAACGGAGGCGCAAAGCTGGGCACGCGGCGGCGCCAATGCGTCTGCCGCGGCTATGACGTCACTCCTCTGGAATGCGCAGACCGGCGAGGCGCGCGCGGCGGCAGCGGCTCCGACGCGCCAGCTGTGCGCAGTGTGAGGTCACTGCTCCTCGCGCATGCGCAGACCGGCTCTTTGACAGCCACGCGAAACTGCTCAATCTCGGCAAGTGTAGCTCACGCTACAAAATGGGCCGAAATCGCCGCTGCCGCCACGTTGATTCTCGAAGAAATGCGAAAGCATTTCGCGCGGCGTAGCAGCAAAGCAGGATGAATGCAATTTCTCGGCACTTTTCCGCGAAGTGAACATTCCCAAAACCCCTCTTGTCCCTGGTGCAAGCAGGTCAGGTCACTTAGCGTGTGCATGAAGGACGGTGACCGCACAGGATTACGGCGTGACGCAACACCTAGCAACCGAGGTGCAGTGGGACAGCGGGGCTAATGCGCGAGACACATGTACGACGAAACCTTCCGATCCGACGTGCGGACTGCCGGAATGACCTTGGGGGGGAGAGGGTTTTCGTAGCATCGGAGAGCGTTGAAAACCCTCGCCTCCGACCGTCGTATTGCGCGGTCGGACGTCGAATCGGACGGTTTCGTCGTACATGTGTTTCGCGCTTAAGGCTTACTTAGGCCACCTGCGGGGCGCCACGAGGCGGCGTGTACGAGTGGCCGAAGGTGGGTTAATATTTTGTATGGAGCCATCCGCCGACTGTCGCCCCAGTGATTCACCGGTCATCCCTCACTGCGCGGTGCCGAAAGTGACGAAGGGGGACGTCGCTTCAAGTTCAGCGCATGTACCAGGACACAAATGCTAACGCTTTAAAACTTTGTCTACTACGTGTCCTTTGTTTCACCGCTTTTTTCTACGTTTTACTAATTACCGAAATTAATGCTATAATACATATATGTAGTCGTTCTATGCGCCCATTGGACTTCTGTTCGTTTTGCAGATTTGAAAACCACCAGATGTTCTGCCGCGATGGGTGTCGGTGTGAGCAACAGTTTCGCCTGCACCGCCTGCTGGCCTTCGATCCGCGCAACGAATGCCGAGGCATCTTCTCCGACTGGTTTCGGTTCCCGTCCTGTTGCGTCTGCATCTGCTACGACCTCGGAGCGGCGGGTTTTCGAGCTGGAAGGTTCAAGTCATGAACAACACCACTGAGCGTCGAGTGCCATGTAAATTTGTATTTATTTGGAGAATAAAAGTGTAAATGTGTGTGTATTTGGAGAACCGAAAGATAGCTTCCAATGTAGACCTACACATAACTCAATGAAGAATTATGGCTTTGAGATCGAACAATCGAATAAGTGCAGAAAATTATAAAATGCCCCACTGTGCTTGTAGTGGTAAACACCCGACGCGTATCGTAGTGTGGGCAGCGAAAAGTTGCGCATTTCTCGGACAAAACAAGTGCCTGTTCCACTGTTCTGTTTGAATTCGAAAAGATTCGCCTCGTTCGTAAGGAGCGTCATCTTTTCAATTGTAGCAGCGTCGTCGCTCTGCTCCCTGTCCAGCAACATAGGCGGCCGTAGTACGGACGCCCCCGCAGCGTCCGTACTACGGCCTCGGTATGTATACGTCGCACTTCCTGCCAGTGAGCACGAAGTGCGGCGGACATGTCTGTAGCGTGTCTGGCTCGCAACCGAAGGGTCGTGGATTCGAATAATGCCGAAAACAAATTTTTCTTTAAATTAATTATTTCACTGAGATATGCGGAGACCTTTAATTCGCATTAAATCACTTTTATCCAACGCGGAAAGTCACGTTTCACGTGAGTGTTGTTGAAATTCCCGCGCAAAGTCTGTGACGTCATGACCTTATCGACCAATCAGGATTTTCCCGTCACGACGCCACCGACAGCGGCTTTTCCGAGACACAAGCTCCGTTAAAAATCCGGCACCACGGCCGTTGCGCGTTGTAACTACCTATTCGACTCCTGGGTCTGCTAGTTCGGTCTAGGGTGCCTTCATGTGCGCTCTGCTTAGGGTGGTGGCATCTCGCCATTTTGTCACACACGTTTATTTTAATTTTTTGTTCAGAAGCGCGTGAAAGAGCGTTCTGAGCGCTTGTGGCGCTGACTGTGCTATGGCGACATTTTGTTTTCGTCGATTTCTTTGTATTTTTCCCGTGAGCGCGTGCTGTCGGCATGTGGTACTATAAAGGGTGGCATCACCCTAAACAGAATGACATTGAGGCACCCTAGTTCGGTCCTCCTTTTTGAGCGCCGTTTTAATGCGAAAGCATTAAAGGGATAATGAGCCAAATATTGCAGTGTCCATAATAAGTGGCGCACAATCTTTCCACGAGCCAGCGGACACCGGTGTGCGCGAGCTCACGCAACGAAATTGACGTCAGTGGCGTACTAACTTGTTCTTGAATAGGGAGGCAAACCAACCCAACCCCCCCCCCCCTCCTCTCCCCAGGCGGTCAGTGTTTGCTCTGCCCAGTGGCGGCTGTTTCAGGGGGGGAGGGGACACATGCCTTACCTACCCCCCCCCCCCCCCCCCCCCCCCCGGGTTGGTACGCCCATGATTGATGTCATAGACTTCCATTCACGCTTAAGATGACAGTGAAACGTATGGTATCCGAGTAAAAGGAGAATAAAGACAGGTTTTTCATCCCCGCAAGTGAAAGACCGCTATGTGCTTGTTAGACCAATTAATCGCCTACCTTTTACACCAAACTCCAATGTGAAGATGTGAAGACTGTCTATTCTTTTTTTCCCCAGAGCCCGCACATTTCACTGTCATCGTAAGCATGAACAGGGCACTACGACGTCAATTTCCTTGCGTGTGCTGGCTCGTGGAAAGATTATCCGCCACGTATTATAGACACTGAAATGTTTGGTTCAGCATCCTTTAAACTATCCCATGGGGCGGAACCGGCAGCGTCTGTAACCGCAAGAAAAAAAAAAAGAGTAAGAAATGCCCATTTTCTCATTGGCTAAGCAAAACGGCTCCTAAATGGCCATTGGCGGCCGCTTTTCTTTCGGAGTAAGGGTAGCTGACATCGGGTGCAAAGGGCGCAACGGGCCTGCTATACAGTGGTGGCACGTACCACAATTATCACACGATAACCGCCGTTGTTTGCATTGTTGCCAAAAAGAAGGACGAGTGGAAGCGGCTGTGGCAGACTGCGGCGCATCTTTAGCTGTAAACAGTGACTGTATACGCAACTCAACTCATCGAGCTGAGCCCCCTGCGAAAATCAAACTTCAGGCCAGCAATTGCCTTGCGTGCGCGCAGAGTTACTCAGCTCTCGCGTCAGGTGGCGTGTTGTGCGGTGAAGTGGCGCTAAGAAACAATGCCAGGTTGCGACGCGGAAGCTCAACTTCAATATTTTCTTCTCGATTTAGACAAAAACCATTTTGATTAAAATTTCAGAAACGAAAGACAATAGACTCTTCGTATAAAGCTGTTTTGTTTCGTATTTTTACTTGGACCACCTCAGGGTAGAATAGACGGCTGTTCAGGCAATAAAATGGACTTTTTCTACAACTTTAAAATTAGTTTCATCTGTGAGGTATTTTCTTTTACAGCTTCAAACATTTTTTATTTGTAATACATCTACGAGGCTTCCAAAAAAATTATAATTACCAGTTGCAAAGTTGCGAATGACAAAAGTGCTATGACAAAAGTGCTAATTTTTTAGCACTTTTGACAAAAGTGTTATTTGCAAATGACAAAAAGTTGCAAATGACAAAAGTGCTAATCAATTATCACACCATGGCAAGCTAAAAGCCGTATTTCAAGAGTAAATTGTGAAGCGTTTAAAAAAAATTGATTATTACTAAATTATTGGTTGATGCCTAGTTTTACGCCCACTTTAGCCATTCTTTTTTTTCGGCGAAACGTTTTTATGGGAAATGGGAAAGTTTAAGGACCCTGGGGTATTATTTCTTTAGCCATTAATTTTGTTTGAAAGATCGAAGATGGTCGAGCGCAGCGTCTGGGACGTTTGAGATGGAATGACCCCTGGCTGAGAAATGGTTGTGCTATGTGCCATTCTCAAAAGACAGTAATTGCACTTTCTGAAAGTGATCCCCAATTGCAATAAATTACTTTTGTGCCATAGTAATTATATCTGCAATGAACTTTTTGGAGCAAAGTACCTTCATCAAATTTCCGAAGTAATTTGCCCATACAACGCAGTGCATTTTCAGTTGCGGAACCGTAACATCTGGTGGTGTTACGGCTCGGGTGTTTTTTTCTCATATGTAAAACTGCTTCAGCTGGGCACATCGCAAGTCCGGCTTCAGAGCGCTGCCATCTTGATCGGCTGCGGTGCGCTTGGGCGTGTCATAATCCACTTACGAAGCCTTGCTACGGCGTTGTAATCAGATCATGACCGTGCCCAAGCGCACCCCAGAAGCAAGATGGCGGTGCCTTGAGACCGAACTTGAAAACCTGTATACTCCCCGTGCATTTTATGCCATGTTGAATAACATTTTTCTCGGTAGATTATTAGTATTCCTGTCGTACATATATCATTTTGTTCCAAATTTTGTGTATTTTTATACTTTTTTTTCTATCTTAGCGTCGGGTAAAGTCACTATATGTTTAGCTTTCTCTAATGCTTATTGGGCACTCACACGTTTCTGCTGGCGGAGTTTTGTCGACAAATGTTGAATTTTTCACCCACACACGGATGGCGATAAAGATCTCGGGGGCCGCTGATGCGTTTTTTCTGAGCGCTTCTTTAAAGGGGCAATGCAACGATTTTTGTACTTTGCGCAAATACCGCTTAGAGCGGATCCCTGACGTTGATGACTAATGAAACACCCGTTCGTTTTTTCACCCCACGCAATAGAAGTCCCAGAAAAAAATTGAAGAAAAACGAGCAGCGTTCACCCCCTCAACTCGCAGCCAGAAGAAACGGCCACGTGATCTGGAGCCGATTATATGCCCCCAATGTTGATCATAGCCACGAGCTGGGGTTGGCAAAGCACAAGACACGCGCTGAGTTCCAGACATCGTTATGGCTCGGCTATTGTCGTCGTTGCAGCGATTGGACACGGGCCACTACCCGAATGCTTCTCGAGCTAGTAATTATCACGAGCCCAAATCGAGTGCCCACGCAGTGCTCGGGTCCAATCTATGAACCGCATTCAAATATCGTCATCGGGGTGTACTGCGCTCTTCACGTTACGTCATGAAATTTTGCAAAGGAGAGATTGAATGAAAATTATCGCTTTTGTCCTTGAAATTACACCGCAACAAAGGCGTTTCTTGGCCAGTGGCGTTGCGTGCGAGTATCCTTGATCCCCACTAGTGCCAGTAAGCTCGTGTAAAGTGAAAGACATTCCAATTGAATATAGTTGCACCGCTCCTTTAAGGGGTATTCACACGAGGGAGAAATCCCGGGGATTTCTCCACGGCACGGCGCATCCAGCGACGAAAACGTCAGGCTTTGTGATGTGCAAAAGCCTCGCGTTTTCGTCTCGTGATGCACGCGTGCCGGGGACAAATCCCCGGGGTTTCTCTCTCGTGTGAAGATCCCTTTACGCGCTGGTATATTTCAGCGTCTGTACGGCAACAGAGCGACTTAAAACCCGCAAATAAAGCACGGTTTGTCAATTGCTTCCTTCATAAAACTGCAGACGCTCACAATTCAAGGTCGCGTTCGATTTCGTTGCCCGCGGGACGCGATTTCTATCAGAAAATCTACCTTCTTTTCCTTTCGGAGCCGCGACACATCGTAGCAGGAGAACCCTCGTCGCCTGCTCCCGTCCTCGCCGGAGCGAGGCATGACGGGATTGCATTTTGGCGCACTCCCGATTTCCTCGGTGCAGCGAGCGCATGCACGCGTGGGGTGCCAGCGCTGAAGCGAACTCTGAGAGTGCAACCACTCGTGGAAAGCCGGCTGAAACGAACCTGCTCCACGCTGCGAGTGGGCACGCGTGGGCACGAGTGCCGTGAAACGAACTCGCTACAAGATATATTTAGGTGCATTTCAGAGTAGAAATATGGTTATCTCATCAAGACGTACACGGTGTCACAAAAGAAAATTTACAAGGTTTCTTCTTTTTTACCGCAAAAATAAACTAGGCATCGCTGAACGCTCATCTTCCGCTCGAAGGTAGCGCTAGAGGTCACAACCAGATGCCAAAGTTTCAGCCCGATCCGACAACTTAATCAAAAGTTATGTGATTTTCTGAAAATTTCAATGAGAAAATGGAGCCTATTTTTGCCCGCTTTCGGTTTCTGGTGCCCATAGAGCCC